GTGTGTGTGTGTGTGTGTGTGTGTGTTAAAAACCAGTTGTTTTTGCAAGTGCATTTGGTTGTTGTTCCGATTTTCTCACATTTTTTTGGGGTTTTTAAAGGGTTTTGTAACAAAAAAATTACTTATTGCACCTGAAATGTTGGATCTCACTGTTTAGTGTTATTTGAACTGCATAAGCCGTAGAAGCTTAAAGATTACTAAAATTTCGCCTGGAATTTTTGCTTAAAAGTTATTAGAATCTTTTTTGTTTTAGATCTTGTTTTTTAGATTTTTTACTTTTTTGTTTGCTTAGGTTTTTGTTTTTTTTTTACACTGTTATTTTATTTTAATTTTATTTTTATTATTTTGTTTTAGGTTATTTAGGTCATTATTCTTATTTTAGGTTGTTTTGATCGTTATTCTTATTTTGCTTATATTTTGCTGTTTTAAGTTTTTTTTTTTTCTTAAATGTCAATTCTTGCTTTCTGGCCAGAATAATCGTTTTCTTCCTTGTACGTTTTCTTTGTTTCTTAACGTACACACTCGCAAAAGCTTTTGGCAAATTCCGAAACCAGAAAAGCTAGGAAGCTGAAATTTCAAGCGGGTGTCCCCCTGCCCAAGTAGAACTTAATGAGCATGTGATTTCACTACGGTTTTTTTGGTCAGACGAACAATGTTTTGTTCCTGACAGATTTTGCTTTTTTTCAACGATGTCTTGAAGTTCACTGATTTCACAGAAAACGTATGACATATTCGGTGTACATTCACCGTTGTAAATTTTAGTCCAAGAAATATGCGCCGATAAATCACTAAATTTATAATTCTATTTCTTTTTTTTTCTAGTTGAAGATCATGCCGAAGTGGTTCATCATGATCATCAAGAAGATAAAGGAAAAGGCAACAAGAAAGCTAAACGCGAAAAGCACCATGAAAAGGCACCCGGAGCACAGAATCAGACCGATGGATTGCGTGAAGCTATCGCCAGTGCCAAAGAGACAGTAAAAGAAGCACTGAAAGATAAGGACGGTATGTTTTGCATTAGGAGCCGAGATATTTGCAAATGGATTTCAACCCTAAACATAGGCGGATCCAAGAGGATTTCTTGGGAGAGGGGAGAGGGGGAAGGAGCTATGGGGGGTTAGGAGGGGAATCCCCTCCCACCGTGGAACTATGTAAAAACTAGGAATGGAGTTGTAACACTGCTACTTAGAATTCTTTTAGGCTTTAGTTTACTTTAGTTTTAGCTTTAGACCCGGGCTTCTGCAGCACTGTTGCCTGTGCTGCTAGGGAGAAGAGGGGGGAGGGGTGAGGTCCCTTCGCCTTCTTGTGGATCCCTGTG